ACACACACACGTACACACACACACACACACACACACACACACACACACACACACACACACACACCATTTGGCTGAGAAACTGAGGGGAAAAAGTTGTGCCAATTGTGCATTTATAACCAGAAAGAAGTTTGTAGTCTGTTTTTACCTCGCTACATAATAACCCATTGTTTCCCACTAAAACATGTTTTTGTGTATGTATTTGCTACATCATGGGGACCATTTTCCAGACAAACACAGCCTTGTGGGGACCAAAGCCTGGCCCCAACAGGTACAGATGCTAATTTTGGCTTTGGGGTTAGGTTCARGACTAAGGAGAGTTGAGGTGAGGTTGGGCTTAGGGGTCAGGGTTAGGAAATAAATGCAAAGTCTCCATGAGGATAGAAAAACCAATGTGTGTGTGTGTGTGTGGGTGTGTGTGGTAGAGACAAAGCTTTCTAATGCAGAGGATTAGCACATCTGTGTGCCACGTTTATTGTTCTCAAGATGCATTCAGCCATTTTATCATCATCAAAAYGAGAGCATAAAGCTACTCCTCTCAGCAGGACGCGGGAATTCCCGCGTTACATCATCAGTGAGCAGAAGCGGAAGCGGAAACGTAAACGCGTAAGGTTCAGCTCACCACGAGGGACTTGGCCAAGATGTTTTCTATGAGTTTGAAGTCRTTTCGCTGGAGCTGCTTGCTCTTGGTGCCGGTCCCCTCGGTTTCCTCATCGGCGTAGAAACGGAAGAACTGCGAGTCGTCTTTGAACTCGCTCTTCTCCAAGACTGCAGGACAGAGAGACATGCGCGTGAGGAGCAGCTGCAGAAAAACAACACAGACTTAATCCCGCGTGATTACGTGTTTATCGGTCATGTAAGGTGCGTTGTGGTCGTGTTGAAGCGTGGACCCAGGAGTTTGTAGAACTGAAGGAGTGTGACGTGAAGCCAGTGGTTAAACTGCTCATTAACGGACTATGTTAGAACATCTGGAGCCAAATCACATCTGGGTCAAAGCCAGTCTCTCTCTGTGTTTGTGAAAATCCCTCAATCAGGTGAGAGCAAATAAATCAAACACTTTTCGTGCTGACCCTCGTTACTAGGAGTGCTATTTTACAATCTTTCACCGTGAATGAAATTTGTGACTCGAGGCACAAATTTCACCTCGTGTGTTTCCTAATCCCAGATGAGTTGTTTGTTTTCTTTTTAGGTGTGTGACCCCTAAAGGCCACTGGGCCTGTTTAGGCAAATCTGASCACCAAAGGTACTCAGCTGTTCAGTGATTTGGGGAACATCTGCCACGCAACGCTGATCCACAGCCTTCACCACTTTATTACACACCCACTCCACCACACCTCCACTCGCGTGGCCTCCTGCCAACACAAACTATTTCTGAATGCTCCTCCTTATTTCCTCTGAGCCTTAAATACTTTAACACCACCATGTATTTAACTGAGGGATGTGCCAATCTGGGAACTGTTAAAGTTTAATCATTTACATATTTGTGCCGTTAAATCATTATTTGAATGCAAATAAAACCCAAGCTGCTGAGGTCGATTATTTGTCGCAGATAAAAAGTTTGATTTTGCATCTTTATTAAAAGCTATGAAATACGAAAAACTAAGTATTTGCTCAGTAATTAAACAAATTGTTGTGAGCAAACAGCAAGTTCAAAAGCAATTTCTAATTTTTTCTAGCAGTAAAACATGAATATCAGCATGCAAACTGACGCAGGGTCAATCTTTAACACTGAACAGTGTTTTGAATGAATTTTCATATCTGTTAACGCTGTGAATAGAGCGGTGCTGGAGGGAAAAATGTGGTTCAAAATGCTAATGTTTACATACATACAAATSCCATTAAGGTTTTGGACAGATTAAACCCTGTTTCTTAACTGTGGAGGACCAAAAGTGGCATAATAAGAAATAAAAGCAGAAATATATAAATGGACCAATAAATAAATAAATAAATGCACTTAAAATGCACAAATTAAATTTAAAAAGGAGAACTTTAGCTCATGTTTTATAATTTAACTGACCTTCATATTTAGTTTTCCTGCTTAGTTCTAATAAATTTACTGTGCATGCTTGTGTTAAGCTAAACTAAAGCAGTACAAGCATGCACAGTTGATCTGCACAYGGATCCTGCTCCTTCCTGTCTGTTGACCAATAGGAGAGGAGCTGACCCAAGAAGGACCGCCCACCTTTTTTGCATAGTGAGGCAGAAATGCATAAGGAAATGTAAATACAGGAGACAGAGAAATGTAAAAAACAATGCATGGAAATAAAAAGACGTGAGAGAAAAATTATATATATAAAAAAGATTAAATATAATCATTTAAGAGACACAGATGCATGAACAAATTAAGGGAAAAACAAAAAATATATATTTTTTTAAGAACAGTAAAATATAAATTATGTTCTAAAATACATCATTTATTGGAAATAAGCTTGAAAAATAAATATCAAGTTCATTTTAATATTTCTGCTTTTATTTCTAACTATGCCAGTTTCGGTCCTCCATACGTAACAAGGCTTCTACATGAAATATGACAAATGTACCTGGTTTTGTACGTAGAGTTACCAAAAAATAGTCTGCAGCAGGTTCAAACAGTGCACACAGAGCACTGTTCCAATGAGAAAAAGCAAGCATGAAAATAAAGATACAAGTTTAAAAAAAACRGTCTGAGGAGCAGATGTGCTAACTACAGTTTTTAAGAAAGTGACCTGGGTGGAGGTGAGAAGTGCAGACAGGTTGAGAAGACAGAGGTCATCACCTTGAATGAAGTCGGGAGAAAAGGGGAGAGCGGGCGACGGCTTCAAGCAGATGGTGAGTTGTGTTAAAGTGGAAGTAAAGGACGTGTCATTAAATTATCCTCTGGGTGTGTTTGTGTTTTACACACAATCTGTGAGCCTTTAAGAATTTAAACTTTRGATGCTAAGAGCATCAGCGCAGATTCATTCAAGACTCAAAGACTTCACAGCCTGCATAAAGAAAGGATTAAATGTCGTCACTGTATCCCTTCGAAAATAATTTAACACCAAGTCTATCAAGAGTCTCACTTTTCACTTAATACACCGGACCGAGCACACGGTCGATTCAATTATAGGTCTTAACCAGTGGAYGTGGTTCAGCGGACTGACCCAGACGGCCATGTAGAAAAGACAAACAATTCCTGTTAGGGTACACTGCTAAGCCTGTTTGGATTCAACATTCTGGCCTGAAGGACCAAAATCCGCTCCACTACGATGTGGTCAGTGAGGTTTACAGAATTTAGACTGAAAATTTACGACTTATTGATTTTTTTTTTCATCCTATGACGGCGTATGAGAAGCAAAACCAGTTTTAAATTCTTGTGGGTTGACRGCAGAACCGCCTGAGGGCAAGTTAGGGCCAAAATGATGTAACACAGCAGCGCCGAAATGAAATCACTACAAAGGGATGAATGAAAAAAGGCAAGAAAGCTAATGAAATGTAGATGTTTATGTATGAAAAGAAAAGCAAATTATTAGAAGCTGACAAAAAAAAGACAATCTTAGTGTCTTTTTGCATGYGTCTGTAAAGGAGGAGTGAACTGACCGTGGTGCATGAAGCCGCTGTTACAGAGCCCCACTCCCAGCATCACAGCATCCTCTCGGTTCGAGCAGTCGCCCTGGGAAACCACATCAGTGATGCACACAGTCGGTCACAATGCCTGTTTACACCTCCTCACACTCAACACACCACCTGAGTTTGAACGGGGAGCTTCGGAAACACACGTCTATAACTACACGTCTAATAAAAACTTTGACGAGGYGGATTCAGCGTTAAAATCTGTTTACCTGAACAACAAATCCAATTAAGACACAAATGATTGTTTTATAAATGAACTGTCCCATGTTTATTTAAATATGGCAAAGAGCTCATAGTGTTCCTACAACTTAAGATAAGTTAAATTTAAGACTTTAATGCCACTTGAAATTATGTTTTTTTAATATTTTAACACAAAACAACTAGCTGCAAGAGGCATTCAGTAAATTATTTCAAAAAATAAATAAATGTTACCAATTATTTCAATATTTTAAATTAATTACAATCATTCTACTTAAAATATGTTAATTGTAAGACATCTGAAAGGTTTATTTAAGACATTTTAAGGCTAACTGAAGGCCTTTTAAGACTTTAATGATCCATGGGAACGCTGTCATAACTCTTTTGCAGTTAACAAAATATATTTTACTAAATTTATATTACTAAAGTCTTTCAGTACAGAATAAAAAGAATAATTCTTGTTTTCAACCTTAAACAGTACACATCATGATTTAAATCCTCCTTCACATTTAAATCCTTCAGCTGGGGTCTACATAAAGTGGAACCTCAATGATKTKGATTGAATTCCTCCTTATTGTAACTTCACAAGCCCCTCTTTTCACCTTATTTTTGAGGTGTGCCTCAGATCAACTCGTTTTGATGCTGCCTCTTTAAATCCAAACGATGTGTTTCCCACCACGCTCCAAGTAAACAACAAAATGCATTTAACGGGTAAAAAAAGTGAATTTTGCACATGTTCCCTTAACAAGAAAAAGCTTAAATTTCATTCTAATAACTGAAACGCACATCTGTCGAATTAAAACACTCATAATATATAAAAAAACAAAATATTCTTGGTGTTTTGTGTAATACATAGTTACCTGTGAGATAAGCCAGTCCACCAGCTTACTGGCAGGGACAACAGATCTGAAGGTTTTCAGATGGTAGTCCCTGTCCCTGTAAAGACGTAACCACAGGTTTAATTAGATTAACTTATTGTTCATTGTAAACTACTTTAAAAGTAAGGTAWAGTTTTAGTTTTCTATCTTAATTGAGCAACTTTGCAGATGTGTTCTACTGAAAACAAAACTAAAATTATCAGCTGATGAGCAATTTACTTTAGGGGAACTCTTACACAGAATAAAATAACAGAGGCTTTGTCCGTCTCCAAATTTAATAAAGCAGAGATGATTATTATTGTTATTCATAAATCAATATCACATTTAAACCTTCTAATTATTCGCTGCTACAATAGCAAAAGCAATAGACTGAGAAAGGAAGGTCGTGTTATATAATAACTGGCAGGCAGGCAGGCAGAGGAATCGCCTTTGTGTGGTAATAAGATTTGTCCTTGGACCAAAAGCTCTTTGTTTGCTCCGATGGCAACCCTGCGCCCTTCAATCAGTGAGCGAGAGACGAAGGAAAAGACAGAAAACGTTTGTAGGGTCTGTGTAAGTGGGAATATTCTCTTCAATTTCACTGATTTTTATTATTATTATTATTATTTAGTTAATGAATTTCAAGGTATAACAGATTCCTCTTAATTTAACCTCTCATGAAACATTTTGGTTTGATTCAATTTAGAAAACTTTGCAGTTTGTTGCAATTGCAAATCCTTACCTAGAATGATGTTTTAGCACAACAGAGCGTTAAACCCATGCAGTTTGTTGAATAAAAGTGCAGGGTTCCTGCACTTTTATGCAAGAGAATTAATGTGCATGAAGGCAGGAAGAGCAAAAGGAGAAATAAAGCTATTAAAAAGATTAAATTGTGTCTTTTTATTTGCACTTCTGCTAAATAAATGACCTGGAGTAACTCATTAATCTGCGTTCAACTAAACCAGAACTGAACGCTCACAATAGGTGGGTCCTTGAGTGCTTTTTTTTCTCTAATTAAAACGTCCTGAAACCCTGACAAACCTAACCTGCGCTGACTGTTGAGACGAATAAACCTACAGGAGGTTGAACTAAAAGAAGAAACACATTTGAAGGCTGTCACTCGCGGCAGAGACTGTTCAGTCATTACAGAAAGGGTTGAGGCCAGGTGAATGCGAGCCCCCCATGAATATGCATTTATGCACCTGGAGGGCAGACACATTAGCATATGAGGGAAAGGGAGTAAAAGAAAAAGCAGGAGAGGAGGAGGAGGAAGAGGAGGGCAGGTGCTTACTTGATGACTGGAGTGTGCAGGCTGTGAAGACGGCAGTAAAGCCTGACGCCCTGCAAAGACAAGAGAGCACAACTGCTGAGTCATAGATCGTACRCACCTTGGATAAACAAGTACAGTCATGAACAAAAGCTGGAACTTAAGAGTTTGAATAAAGTTACCCCGAGGCTATCATTTTAGGATAGAAATGTGAATGCCGTAATTTCTTACCTCCAAACATTGGCAAACATGCCCGACGTGTTTTATTGCTTATGTTCAGTAAAGGACTTTAAAGGAGACATCTGATGCTTTTAAATCCTTCTTTTTCACATTTAAATCATTCAGTTGGGGTCTAYATAATGTGGAACRCTTTGGTCTGAATTGCTCTTTATTGTAACTCCACAAGCCCCTCTTTCACCTCTTTTCACAGGTGTCAGATCAGCTCGTTTTGAGGCTGTCTCTTTAAATCCAAAGGAGATGCTTCACACTAAGTACACAACAGAAATATTTCAACTGCTAAAAAAATGGATTTTGCGTGACATRTCCCCTTTAAGGCAATATGCATGAACATAAAGGTGATTTTTAAATTCACACATTAAAAGAATGTTTTAAAACTGCACGCTGTAGGAAGCAACAGCATCCATGATATAAACCAGTGGTTCAGGCCTGGAACTCAAATGGTGGTCAAACATTTGCAGATCTACCATTTCTCTTTATAATTTACCCCTCAGACAGAAAACCATTACCCTTTTGTAAGAAAGTGGTCAAACTGGATCCTCAGATAATATGCAGAAAACCAAATAGTTCTCAGTTAAATGCTTATTTCAGATCTAAAGACTCATCTCACCAAGAGGTTCCGAATCTAATGGCCCCAAATCACATGATCTCATAATACTTATCAAAACCCTGGCCACACCCCTTGGGGGTGGTTCCTTTTACGTCATAATTGAAATGTTAGTACATAAACAATTCTATGTTTATCCTGCTGGAGTGAGGCACATAATAAATAGAGACTTGTTGAATCCTCTTTAAAGTAAATGACAATCAATCACTAGGTATAAGATATAAGGCTGCATCTAATATTCAGTCAATCAGCCACAAAATATCCAACACTTTAGTTTTTGAGAAGCACAATTATATTTACCTTCGACATGATGTCCTCCATCTCGCTGCGAGCCTTGTAGGTGCCGTCATCGTAGCGGAAGCGGTACAGCACCTGTTCATTCTTGAACTGGTGCCTGTCGGACACTGAAATATCAGCAGCAAAAGAAAAGGTCACTCTGACTGAGCTCTTAGTTGGAGCACCAGGTGATTTAAGGCTGGTGACATATTGAAGGTGTCCCCTCGACTTATGTTTGACAGTAGAATATTTAAAGCAAATAAAGCTGCTTTTTTTGGATTATTTCTGAATGTAGAAAGGAAAAAAAGACCACAAACAGCCAGTCATTGAACACATTAAACGTCTAAAGGAAACGAATGCAACTCATTTTGCATCTGTTTTAAAACATTTTCTATTATTAATGTCTTGAGGGTAACAGGGTAAATAAAACAGATAAGGGGCAAAAGTCTAAGAAAAAAAAGCATTGTCGCTTACTTTTGTTGGTCAAAGAAAAACAACATGCAAATCTTACAATAATCACTGTAACAGGTAAGTCTGGAATGGAAGCTTTCTTTGATGTGTGGAACAACTTATTACTTTCCATGTCAAAGAAACAACAAGCAGCAGCTCCTAATCCTCATTAAATCTCCCTGTTTAAACTAATAGGCACAAAACTTTGAAAACAAGTCTAGCAAGCTGAAAACGTTAGACAAGAACATGACYGAATAAGTCAAATCTTCCAAACAGAGGCTGCTTGGTTCCACCACAACAATCTGGCATCCACTCAGACGAGCTGCCGGTTCTGTCTGGACTTGAAGTGCGAAGAGATGCAACTCAAGAATCCGTTGTTGTAAAGTGTCAAACGAGAGATTTTAACATAGGTGGAAATAATTGCTGCATTACCCTTGGAGCAAAGAGGACGCCAAAAGTGTAAACACTGAAGTATGAACGTATTTGTTGGAGCGACTCGAACAAGCACACCTAATTGGACAAAATGTACTCTGAGATCAACGAGGCGGGCTGTCTTTCATTTACGTTACAACACAAAACCAACGATTCCTTTCCGATGACTAGCTCATGACGCCTTCGTTTTTTGCCTGCGAGGCCTGAACTTCTCCAGTTGGCCCACGTCTTCTTGCAACCCCACAGAGTCCTCCGTGTCGTCAGTGGCTGTAAGCTCYTGTCAGGCAGGATCTCTACGGATTTCTCACAGCTATTAGGGAACATGAACACTGGGTTTCAGCAAATTTTTCCTACTGCAGTGTGTATAAACATCCTGGACAACTGCATTCATACATTATACATGTGTTTGGGGGGATGTGTGTGTGTGGGTTTCATCTCTTAATGCATAATTCAAGAAGGGGAACCTGTGAGTGCCACCCTGAAAGTCAAAAATCAGTAAAGTGGAAATAATGAGACACATTTTAAGAAAAATCATGACCAGACCCAAGACTTTAGGTCATGGCAGGCTCCACAGTCATAGATGTTGGTCTTATACATGTCACGAATGAGTAAGAAACTGATAGAAATTGCCTAAAAGAGAACAGAAAAGCACGATGATAGGAGAAATAAAAGCATTCAAATTGAATAAAATCTACAAAAGAGGATAAAACGATAAACTGAAGAAAATAGGGAGTAAAGAAGAAGCCACAAAACAAAACAGAAATTAGGATTTTTATTTGTCTCACCGTGATGAATGATGCCATTTTCCAGTAAGGCTTGTCCCAGGTTGACTCCTTCGTCAGCGTTACTGATCTCTCCACTGTCTAACAGCCACGACACAAACTCACTGAGGGAACACAACAAGAATTCACCCTTAAACTCTTGTTTCATTATGTGCATCATATTCCAGACCATGTTTCTCTTTTATACAATTTGGAAACCAGGACAGGACTACCTTTTTAAACATTGTGTCCAGATCTCCTACACTGGATGTAAAACCACAAGACCCTTTGGTCTTAATAAAATCTTCGGTCTGCAGTTGAAAGAGACTTTTGTACTCTTGGTAGGAAAATATTCCTTTTTATAGAACAAGATCATGGTTATTTCTTATGGCTGATGTAAGCTGGGGTAGATTCTCAGGCATTCAGGATGTGGTAAATAAAATAAATTACAAACAAAGCAACTGGACCTCTATTCTGTAGTTAAAGCTTTCTCAATTAAAAAAACAAACACAATGTGCAGTTTCTAAGACTTTGCATGAGAAGCTCCACTATGTACGATARATTCACATGCAGATTAAACTCATTGCCCGTCACAATAATAGTCCGATGTAGATACGAACTTGACAAAGCTAATACATACAGGAATACATTTGTTTCCCTTTTAGACTATGTTTTTTTCTTTTCTTACAAAACTCACCTTAGGATATTGTCTGACTTATATTGCACCAAAGAAAATCAGATTAAAAATGATAATAGTGATTTAAAAACCTCTAATAATCTATTGTGGTCCAGATTCCGAGTCCTGGCTTATTGTTTGTGATGTACCTRAGGGGAGTTAAACCAAACAGCTTGATGGATTCGGGGGAACGTGCAGAAAAAACGACTTACCCAAGAATAATTTACAGTTTACTCGTAGGTCTTGTAAGCAAAGTCTAYGGTTCTCAGTTCCCCCACATGATCCAAACCAGGGAAATATATTCTTTTTAAATCTGAGCTGACCTGGGTGTCCTCTGGGAGCTTTGGGCAATGCAACATGTTGACACAGTGGGGAGGTAATTTATGCAGAGGTTGTTTACTCTTCCAGAATGAAAGGAATTACAGTATTTTAATGGCCTGCTTGGACCACAGGTACAGGTGGTGAATGCAAATCATCTTCCCCACAGATAATCCTTATACAATATCTGTTTGGACACACATCCATATTTAAGCCCCTCAGCTCTGTTGTCTTGGCCGCTGAGAAAATGTTACGGTCTTCGTCTTTCATGCTCCTAAATGAAATCACCTCCTCAGATAATCGTTCACAGTGAATTGGAGAGGGTTGGTGTGTTTGTGAGCATTAATCCTGAAACAAAACTCACCACAGCTGAAACCATTCTGAGCCGTGTGTGATGGGAGAAATTGGGCGTTATGTGTAGAGTTGCTTTTCAAAAGTCATGATGTAWAAATAAATGCACCTGACTGCACGGCCAATCTAAAGGCGTGAAACCACCTGTTTGTGTTTGAATACAGTTCAGTTGCGCTGTGCGTACTTTCACGTTGAAGCTGTGGGCACCTTGAGCAAACTGACAAGTCCTTTTGTCCGTCTGAGGCACAGAAAATACATTTGTCAAAATTAATGACACGCTTCGAGCAGCTATCCAGGTGCGTGCTTTGAGCTGTGTAGCCTGAGTTTGCTGAACTTTTTCCTGCTAATTTATTTACAAGAGCAAGATTTAAACTTTCCTTAGATTTAAATGTTGAGCAGGAAATGAGTTGCAGGTTATGACAAAAAATGCATTTAGGGGCTAAAAGCGAAGTGAACAGAAGCTAACCCAGATATGAACTTGAATAACTAAAACTTAAAAGGATCTGTTCTGTGCCTGAGGGGTACTTGTGGCATAAAAAAGGTATTGGCAACGAAATAAAAAGCTATAAGTTTTGACTGTATATCTATTTAAATCCCAACCACTGGCACAGCCACAAAAACGTATCTGTGCATTAACAATGGCTATTTTTCATTATGGATGACAGACACTTGATGAAATTAGGTTACAGAGTCAACAGGGTGATATCAAACCGGCAATCAGTGTCTCTCTATAATGCAATAACTATTCAAACTGTGCCCATTGGTAATTTAATCGGAAAGACAAATGCTCAGATAATGAAAGGCACACTTACCAACAGGAAATGAACGATAGCGAGAAAAGCGGGAGATAATTAGTAAGAGATGATAAAATGGTAAAAAACAGGAGTGGGTGGGGGAAAAGTACCAAAAGGGGGAATAGAAACAGAAAAAAAAGTCAAAGAATGTAATTCAAAAGAACTCCTGCTCTAAATCTCAGTTTATGTCAGTAACAGTTTGTGAGATAAAATACGACTTCTTTATGAGAACAGAAAATGATCTGACAGAAAAGAAAAAGGATGAGTGAAGACATGCAAATGCATGTGCAGTCAAGCAGAACGTACTTATTTTAAGGTCTACAATGACCAGCTCCTCTTCTTAGACAGTGGTAAATGTGCTATTTTAATTTTGTTATACCTCAGTGAAGCTTTTTAATACTACTGACCACCTTATATTTTTAAATCGCCTTTGTCAAAGTGCAGCCTTTCAATGATTCACTTCGTACTTATCAGATCCATCTTTCTCTGTAAATTCGAGAAACTTCTCTTTTTCTGCTGCTCCTGTCAAGAGTGGAGTTCCTCAAGGATCCATATTTGGACAAATTTTATTCTCTTTGTACATGTTTTCTTTGGGAGCAGTTTCCAGCAAATACAATACTTTATGTTATGCAGACGACACACAGTTTTATATGAACTTAAGTCCGGATGAGCCCACATCTGTTACATCAACTCTGAACTTATTTAAAAAAGTAAAATGATGGATTGAGTTTAACTGTCTTATGATGAATTRTATGAAGTCTGAGGTGATTATGTTTACCCCTCCAAATGCTTCTGTAGATCAAGCTTCCCACTTGTAGCCATAATCATTTAATCTTCAGAGCCATGCCAGGAATCTAGATGTTAGTTAAAATTTAATTAAATGGATGAAATCTGTTGTAAATTCTGCTGCTAGACTCCTAACAGGTAGCAGGAAAAGAAGAGACAGTATACCTCCTGTGTTTGCATCTATCCACTGGCTTTCTTTTACATACAGAATTTATTTTAAAACTCTTGTTTGTGCCTTTTTCTTTAGTACCTCATTACAGACAAGAGAAAGTAGGGATAAGTATTTCAGGCAATCTGCCAAGACTTGGTGGGGAGACTGGTTTCCAGCTTATTTGAATGCCTGCTGATCCTATGTAACTATTTGTAAAGTTCTCCGCGTGAACAGCAAAACGTTCCCGTCACACTCTTGAAAAACGACGCTGAGGAATTAAAGAAACTCACTTTCCCATAAAGCACTTGGGCACAATGCTGAGCTTCCTGCGCCTATCCTTGATCAGGTGCCTGTTCTTGGTCATCATCATGTGGTAAAGTTTCTCCCCTTTCTCTGCTATCATCACGTAGGCGTCTCGCTCCATTCCCAACTTCAAACCTGAGAGAGAGAGAGAAAAAAAAGAAGGGGAGGAAAGAAATAAGCCAGATCCAAGAGATTTTGTCACATTTACTGAATTTACAACCAATGGACTGAGACATTGTTGGGGCGAAAGTTGATTTACAAAATAAAATATATGGGAAAGGAAATGAATGTGCAAACAAAATCTCAGCCAAGAAAAATAAAACAGATCCAGAGATTTTAACTTGGCTGAGGCTATTTAAATTCATCAGATCCAAAAGGCAAATGCATGTCACAGAGCTGTTAGAGGATGCAAACGGGTCTTTTCATGGATCATCTAGCATGTATTGTACAAAAGGCTTATAGTCGAAAACAAAACATTTACAGCTTGGATCAGCCACAACATGCCTCTGATTCTAAAGAGTAAGTGAAGTTCAATGTGGTTTAGGTTTTGTTTCAGTGTTGATTTGTGAACAATTATTCCTCTAATGTATAGCAGAACATGTGAGGACCCATTGTAGTTCYGGCTGCCCCAGTAAAACCACTTCAGTGTTTGAGCTGCTTAACCTCATCGTGGGCTTTGATGAACTTCTGAACTGGACTCTGAGACTTTCTGACACATGAAACTCAACTCTGTTTCAATAGGACTCCATAATCGGCTCAACTCGGCTGAGCACCACATCAAGCCTCTCAACTCAAAACATAAGTACTCAGTTTTACAAGCCATAATGTGTTTGAAAAAGTTTGTATTCTGTATAAAACTCCAGCAAAAAAAAAGGATAAATAAGTTTTGAAGTGGCTATGCTTTGAGGAAATCTCTTACAGTCTCAACAGACCCAGTTGAYGTTTAAGTTGCACAAATATATGAATACGGGGAAAAAAGATGACTTAATCTTCCACCCAGTTATTTCTCAAATTTGTTGCTTCCTTTTTTAAAATTTAATTTCTAACATCCTTGAAACAGAGCTATGAYCACTAGTATTGAGATCTTTTTTTTTCTTTTGTACAGTTTTTAGCATGTATCTCAGTTTTGTTTTGATGTGCTTTTTTTAAATTCATATATCAAAACGTTCAGCTTCTTCAGGACATTATGGCTATGACTTTTAGTATTTCAGCTATTTTTTTACTTGTTTAGCTATTTCACCTTTTCAGCCACATTTTTTCCATTTAAGGTGAATGGAGATGTTTTCAACATCCTAAAATCCTTCAAAATGTTTCTAAATCTTTACAGCACCTTAAACCTTTTGCTCTGGTTCTGCTCTTTTTAACTTCCCTGTGCTAATTTTAGCTTCTGTCTGCTAATTTTAGCATGTTTCTGCTATTTTAGCTATAATTCTTCTTCTTTCTGCTATTCTCTTCTTTTTTGATAGAGAACATAACTTTTCTTTCTGCTAATTTGAGCCATTTCTGCTTCCTACAGTTGCTTTCTGATATATTCAGCTGTTTGCTGCAATTTCAGCTAATGTTCAGYCGTTATTAGCTAAAGTTAGCTTTTTAAGCTAATTTCAAATCTTGGTGGCTATTTTAGCTTTTRTCTGCTYAGTTCAGCAAACCTGTGYTCCTTATGTTTCCTTATTCTAATTTAGGAATTTCCAGCTAAATTTTAGCTGTTTTACTGCACGTTTTGACTGGTTTTAGCTATTTAACAACAACTGATCACTGTTTTGTACTTTTTTCTACTTTGTTGACATTTTTATACTCCTTTCACCATCTGGGTGCCAATTTCAACTTGCGTCTGCTACCTTTAGCTTGTTTTTAAGCTAATTTTAGCTTTTTCTGCTATGCAGCTATCTTTCTGCTCCTTTTAACTTTTCTGCTAAGTTAAAACTTTTTATGCTTCTTCCAGGTTTTCAAACTGAACTTGCATTAACTGTTTTGATATTAAACATTTTTAGTCCATTTCAGCAGCTTTCAGCAAAAGTTTTCAGCAATAAGCATTCACACTAGCATTCTCACAGGAAATTAATGTCTAGTTGCTAGTTAGATAGCACGAGAATCAACACAAATATAAAYATTTAAGCCATTTGAACATTTGAGTGATGGGGTGGGAGCTTGACAACAAACAATTGAAGTTACACAGCATTTTTTTCTAACACTAAATTTCCCAGTGAGTCTTAAGAGATCTCCGCTGGCACACTGTGATGGAGGTGGGGTTGTATTACATTTGGCAGCAGCTGGAGTAGACTTAAACAATAAGTGTCATTGAACAACAGACGGGGGGCCCCCGCCTCCATCGGAGAGCCTCCTGGTCCAGCTGTCGGAGCTCGTCTTAAGCTGCCCCTCGTCTTCCTGCGCTCACTGGCACAAGATAAAACCGTAACACTTTGTTTGACCTGAGCAACTTCCTTACATTTTACTAAAAACAGCGACAAGTCACAACACCACCAACTGGCAGTTGTTGAACAATGAAAGTGCATTAGGGGAGGGGGATATATGACAGGAGACGTGTCAAATACAGGGAAAATAAACTGAACACACAGCGACTTCAAAAGTCACAACACACAGAGCAAATAGGGGGAAGTATCAAGATGATTGCATTAAAAACTTAAGTTATTGCAGTCTGTGCAAGAGCTGAGAGTTTAAAGAAAAGTAAAGTCATAGAAAGTAAAGTATATGTCTGAAAATRTAATGAAGGAGGAGTGAATTGAGAAGCTGTGATCTGTGACCGATCAGGCATCTGTTTGCCTCAGGTCGATTTCCACCGGGCTGAAACTCAACACCAAAAGCTGCAGCACACTCCTTCAGACTCATTTGTACTCTGAACCCCTTTAATCAAGACACAAATACTGATAAAACCAAGCTTGGATCACATTTCAAACTCATAAAAGCAATAAATATTCATTTCACTAATGCTACAATTAGTATTAACAGTTATTCTGCAGCTTAACTGCAGTTGTACTTTTTGCATGTAGTCAAATAATCTTTAAATATAATCTTTCAGGATCAAGTTTGGATTTTTAACCATTAACGGACCACAAATCTGGCCTCAGCCTTTCACACTGTCCACAGCACGGAACAGAATAAAGACAGATGGCAGGTGTGGAACAGGTGGGAACTTATTCCGAGGTATAAGATGAAAGTGAAAAGATGAAAGGAAAACAAACGAAGGAGAACCAAGAATATCCATTTCCATTACTAAATCTTAAACTTGTGCAATTAGTGGTAAGGCTCCTATTTACAATTAACTAATTAAGTGTAGCTTTTAGTGAATTTTTTTATTTTCATTTTGTGCAATTCCACAACAATTAGGAATGCTAATTACTATTGCTACTAAAATAAAGAACAATTCATGATGTATCTTTTCTCGCAGTTTTGTAATAAAAAATGCAAATTATACACCAAAACACACGGCTCTGTCATGCAACAAAGTCAAAACTGACAACAAATGGCACAAATAAAAACAAAAGTGACTAAAGGGAATTTGGTGAAATAGATAAGAAAACTCAGGTCTCTTTGGACCTCTATGGCGCCTGGATACTTTATTAAAAACCATTCAAATCCTAAAACAGGTCACTAAAAGGTTGTAGTTTGCTTATCTGAACTGACATTTTGATATCTTCTATAGATTTTATGCAAATGCAATTAATGTTTTAGGTTTTGGACAGTTGATGTCACAGACAAAAAAACAAACTCTTTCTTCTCCTACAACTTTTTTGGTACATTTACATCAAAATGTAGGCAATTTTGTCTTCTTCTACTTCTTCTGTGGATTCATCTTCCAGTTTAAGTTCCAGTTCTTCAGTTTGAGAATGTGTCAGGTGTGACATATTGTTTTTGCACAGGGACCGTTTGTTTGAGGCTTAATTTTTTGTCATTTTTGCTGCACAATATAAGAACATGGAGTTTTGCAGCCAACTTTCACACCATGAGTAAAGACTTTAAAAAAATGTAACGAAACCAAAAGCCTTTGCCATATAAACAAGGGCAACCAATGTTTTTTTCAGGTTCATGCCTATAGGGCTGCCACGATTAGTCGACTAGTTACGATTATGTCAACTATTAAAATCGTCAACAATTAATTTAATAGTTGATGCATCAATTTATTTCTAACTTTTTTTTTATAGTCGACTAACTGGTGATTAGTCGACTATACAAATAATCGTTTGTGGCAGCCCTGATTACCACTACTGCACATGTGTGTCAAGGACAGAAAGGCAGACGCGGCAGTGGAAGGTGCCGCAGCAGTTTGGAGAGGAAAAACAAAGTACGACAAAAAAAAAAAAAAAAAAAAAAAAAAAAAAAAATTTAAAATGACGCATCAACTATTAAATTAGTTCACGATTTTAATAGTCGACAATAATCGTGACTAGTCGACTAATCGTGGCAGGCCTGTACGACACAAACACTCAAACCAGGTCAGCAGTCATGCACACTGCTTACCGTGCACACGCTTTGCGAACTTTGCTAAAAAGGTAWGTTTTTATTTATTTTATTTATGAAAAGAGATCAATCAGGAGTAAAGTGCTAAATGGTAAGAAGATAGCAGGTTAACTCCTGGAAATACAGTCTCAACAGATATTAATAAAACAATAAAAATATATATTTTTGCTGTGTAGTAAGTAAATGGAGGAAATAAAAAATTCCCCGGGTGTTGAGAAGCAGGCAGTTTTATAGATGTGCGACATAAATATTTAATGACAAGTTTTCTTCTAAAACCTCTTTGATGTTGAAACGGCCTTCCAAGTGAGAATAAAAAATAAAAAGAAGGATTTTTTTTTTTAAAAAGGCCTTTACAAATCATTACTTACTTTCTCTTTGCTCTCGCTCCCTCAGGATAGCATCCAGCCACTTTTGCTTGTCCTCTGCATTTTTGGCCATGCACACAAACCACTTGTTCTTCGCCGTGTTGTGGATCTTCCAGCCGTTAGTCACTGTGTAGTTGTTGCTGTGATAGTCAGCTGAAAAGCAAATTAATTAATTTAAGAAAAAGGGAAGGCCAACATAAAAACAGAAAAAACTCTAGGATGTATTATAGCTTCTTTCAGGCTTTGCTAATAAAAACAATTTCAAGCCATCTTGATTCTAAAACCCATATTACAAAAGCTTTTTTGATCACCAAGAACTCTAAAATCAAATAAGCTTTCATCTACAGTAGCTTAGCTCGCTGTCTTGTTTTGCTTTTTCTGTTGAAGGCATAAACCAAATATACATTTATAACAATAAACAGCTAGCATTTCTTTAACAGGTACACATCAGTGGCTGCCTATTATGCCGGATATTTAAACTAAATTGTCATATAACATAAAAGGGAGCAAGTTCTCACTCTCATATTATATTGCTAGATCTTATGAAATATGACAGCACTCAGACTATTTGTTGATGTCAACCAGCAGCTACTACCATACCAAATTTACAAACATTTTTCACGTTGGATAATAAGTGATTACAGTATTTATTCATGTATAATACAATCTCATGTATAATACGACCCCCCCCACCCCCACTTTTTTGAGCTTAAAAAGCATAAAAAATTTAATCCTCAAACTACCTCCAATTTCATACAGACTTCAAGATTTTTTCGGCCTTTGCAGTCTTTATACATATCAGTAAAATGATCATTGGACTGTTCATTTTATTTTAACAACATATGTACTAAAAGGTATTTTGACAACAAATATATATCAGCTGTAGCAGCATCATGTGAATTCTGGTATTTTACACATAGTCCACCAGGAGGCGCCAACACAAAAGTCAGAGACTTCACATGAGATTTGGACCATCTTGTGGGGGAAAAGCAGATTACTTCCTACTCGCGAGCACCCCCTCTGGTGGGGAAACGTTTTTTCAGGGATACAAACTTTTTCAGAACACTGGTAGATGGCAGCCATTACAGACGAACAKGTGTTTGTTGTTGKTCSAGGAGYGGCYCGGTCACACGCTAATGTCATTAGTTTGTTATCATTAYTAAGGTGKAGGAATACTTTYYCCCCCTTTTTTTCACATCATGTCGCCTGCCTGGATTTGTTATTATCTCGCTCTGAAGCACGGAGGAATGTCAGAGGTGAGCTTGTTTCAACTGCTTTTTACGACATGGTCTCATTTCCAGACTCAATAATTTTGTGAATGAAGTCAATATTTCAGTTAAAATACATAAGTAAAAATATTTATCCGAGTATAGTACAACCCCCAACTTTATGGACGATTTTATGGATTTAATTTAACGTATTATGCTTGAATAAATACGGTAATTGAAAAAACTGGATTGACTCCAAAGCTTAATTAGTGGCACATCAAACAATTACTTCCTAAGTGTTTCATTGAAATTGGCGCTCTGGTTATCGTTTTTTTTATCTTCAGCAGGCAGCGATCATGAAAACTGACTACAGGTTTAAGTAAAGGCATCCATGAGAGTAATCAGATCATGCTTGTAAAGATGTTAACAGAAAGACATCTCTGAAGAGAGTTTAAAATCCCACGGACGGATTCAAACGCCAATTAAACAGACCATCAGGATGCAACTTAAAAGCAATAAAAGGACCATTCTTTCACTGACTCGTCAAATTCTCTCCTCGTACAACGTTCTAATCCCATCATCCATTTAGCTGCAGGTGAGCAGCCTCTGAATAATGAATGGCCCCTGGTAATGGGGTGCATTAGTCTCGTGCTCAAAGGTCATATAAATAGATTTGATACTTTTGGTCCCGCTCAGAGCCGCTTCTGCTTTTCTGAGAAAGAATGAAACTGCATAGAGACGGACACAAAACAAGTGTTCAGTTTGATTTTAAACCCCAGTGGCACCCAGGCAGCATTACAGCTGGATCATTCAAATTGGGTGTCAATTAAGTCTATTTATTCTATTATTACTGCAAGATAAACAAAAGCGTAAAATACTAAGTAAAGTGTGCTGATTTGACAAGAAAACATACTAGATTATGGATAAAATAAGATTAAACAGACAACATTAAAGTGCCTGTGACATCCCAATCAAAGAAAACATCTTTATGTTTAAGAAACTTGGCATAATACACACAATTTTACCTATTTTGTCACATAAATGGCACATATTCTTTTGAACTTGGTTCAGCCAAAGTGAAACAGGAAGTGACATCAAAGGGGAGCTCTTAAAGAAAATTAACTCTCTGGGTTTTGTTTATTGAAACAATCTTATTTGAACTCTGAYTTTTCTTCATCTCGCACTGAAACTGACTCAAAATAATCTCAAGAAACATCAGAATCTTCCTAACAGTGGTTGTAGCAACGCACTGTTCATATTCAGGCATTTCCCCTTTGACATCACTTCCTGTTACTTCCCATGTAATTATYGCAATAAGTGTTCRTCTCAGTGGCRTGAAATTTATTCTGCAATATGTTATTGATGTTATCTTTCCAAARATGCATTCATATTTATTACAAAACTTTGATGTCACGGGCACTTTAAAACTTTAACGTAACAAAAAAATTAAGATTTTAAACTGACAGTCATTTTGATCAAAGCAATAATGTAATTATTTAGAGTATGTGTGTGTTTGCGTGTGCTTCAGTTAATGCCACAGTCACGTTTGCAGGCACTTTGTAAACTACCAGTTTGATGTCAACCATTCAACTAAAACCCTAAAGAAATAATCTGTTCACTGTTCTTCGAGAGAAATCTGAATCAGTAGGTAAGAACTTTACAAAGATCACACTCGGTGCATTTTTTTTCCTTTTAAAAAACAGACACACCCTTGTTCTACAACGTTCACACTTAGTGATCAGATCATCTATGCTCTAAAAATGAGACCCCTCAATTCTGCAAATGAGGCTTGTTTTTCTTTGTGGTTTCCCTCGCAGCAGCTTCAATGTGACAACCAGAAGCCAACCCAAGTCATGTGAGTTGCAGAAATAATCTGCCAGCATAAAGAAGAGAGAAAAAGAAAAGAGGAAACGTGTGAGAGAGAGAGAGAGAGAGAGAGAGAGAGAGAGAGGGAGGAACAACGTGCACTGAGCCCAGCGAAGCCTCACGGCAAACCACAAAAACAAAACAGAGCCGAGCAAAGACCGTATCAGCGTCTGTCCACAGAAGACTCGATGATCTTTGACCCATTATCTCAACCTCAACCGGAGCACATTGTCTAGTTTGAGGCTGCTTCTGCACTTAGATTTTTATCAGCGCATCAACTTGTTACTGAATAGGCCATTTCAAACAGTACATGACATCGCAAGCTACATCCTGTTGGAAACTAGGTGCAAATATGACACTCCACCCAAACTGTCAACAACTATCTGATTCAAATCCAACTAACAGCACCTTTTTCACACATACCAGCGGCTGAAGCAGGTACTTGTTAACAGTTAAGGTGGAGATTAAACAAGTGTGCATTGTATGAAAATCGCCTGCAGTGATTATTGCCTTCCACCAAAGGCAGAAATTGATCATGATTTTGACAGACCGTAGAGTCAGCAAAACATCTCATGAATTTTAAAGACAGTCTCGGATCAATGGAGATACGACTACAGTAATTACATTTTGGAATCAACACCATTCAAAATTACAGCTYATCAACCTTAAAGGACACATGATGCTTTTAAATCCTTTTTCACGTTGAAATCCTTCAGTTGTGGTCTATATAAAGTGGAACCRCAATGCTTTGCTCTGAATTCCTCCTTATTGTAACTCCACAAGTTCCGCCCCTTTTCTGAGAGTGTCTCAGATCAACTCGTTTTGAGGCTGCCTCTTTAAATGCAAATGAGGCACTTCAAACCACACACCCTCCAGCTTATAGATTGGTTCGTTATAGTTTGACAGAGGGGTTTATGACCATATAAGACCACTAAATTGTAGTTGGTAAGTCCATAACTTATATGTCTGTTCTGTCGCAAATTCCGTGACGTCATAGTTCAGAAAACTTCATAGAAAATAGAGAAAACTAAACAGGTTGAAAAATATGAACCAAATCTTTGCAGCACTCCAAGACTCAAAGTACACAACAAAATGTATTTAAAGACTAAAGAGTGGTTTTTGCATACCCCCCCCCCCCCCCCCAGCGTACACAAAAATGGCTATACTTCAGTGAATTCTACAAATATTGAGCTAAAGTTTGGTGTTGTAGCATCTAAAACACAGACTTCAAGCCCTACTGTGCGAGATTGCCAAAGATATCATATCAACTGACATTTGATATAACGTCTTTGTTAATGTTTAACTAAAATGGTTATAATTGCAATATAAGATTAAAATTTAGCATGAAAGGTAACATGTATTACTCTTAAATAACCAAGTAATCATAGTAGATCAATAGCTTGACCAGAAAAAAACAACATTAGGGGATTGTTTAGATAAATCCTGCATGAACACACGCAGTATACAGTATATGCATGTATACACAGTCTCAAGTCAGTAATATGCTGCTGGGCAAACACAAACCTGTTCCATCTTCCACATTTTCCACCTCCATCACCTCGGTGTTGATTCGGCCTCTGAACACATAGAGGGGCCCGTTGATAGACTTGGTCCTCTTGCTGGACTTCTTTCCAGAAACCCTTGGAAAGAACACAACTCTGCGGTTAGGCTGAGGGGCGAAAAACATCCGTTGATGCCAGTGCCACACGGTAAAAAACAACAACTCATCTCTGTAATGCACACACTCATTCAGACGCAGGTATACGAGTGTTTCTGTTTGGCACATATCTCCATAATGAGTCAATATTAACAGGAATGTAACAGTCTGCACTGATTTTTTTCCGTTTCTGGACTTTTTCAATTGGTTAGCCAAAAGGGAAAAAATGTAATTTTTTCATTTTGTTGGTTTTTTTGTTGTTGTTGCTTTTCTCATATTTGACACACAGCTAATGTGCAGTTTTTTTTGAATGCAGCTTTTCTCACCTGGACTTCCTTTTACAATAAACTAAAAGGTTGTCGAAGAGAAAGAAGACACGTTCCTGGATGTTGCCTGCTGAGATTTTGAGAAGATTTCCATGAAGAAGCAATTCTGTGCAGATATCCGTCARGTTGGTTCCCTAGAAAAAATGAAATAAAGAATTATAGGAATGAAACGCCATAGTCTTCACCGTCACATGCTGCAGCCACAGTTTATTTTATCTGAGCTGAGCACCGTCATCTAGAGTTGCAAAGAAAAACATTGTTGTCTGTATAAAAACTTAAAGAGTTCACAACCCGACTGAAACAATACGAAAAGTCAACTTTGACACGGAGAGAAACTTGTTTTCATTCTTTTGTAAATGATAGGAAAGGCTGGACAAAACTGACCCCACCTAAACCAATCTTATATTTTGTGTTTGAGCAAAACCTCAATAATAAATCTGTCAGAATAGCTAGCTTCTCGTGAAATAAAATWAAAAAAATGAGTGCTTTGAAGCAAAACTACAAAATATACTGAAAATTGAATAACGCAACCGAGACTGAATTTGCACCATAGCTGTTACTTTAGCATATAATGATGTGCATTTTACACTGGTTTCTCTTCCCAAAGTGTACATGTGTCTAGACAAATAAATATAAGCCTTTTAAAAAGAAAAAAAAAAGAGAGAGAGAGAGAGAGAGAGGACGTGGTACAGACTTAGTAGAAATGTTTCATTCCAATCCAAAACCTATAAACACAAATAAATGTGTTGATACCCTTCCACAATAATAAAAAATAAAGATATTACTAATGTGGCTCGACAAAAAATCTCCAGTTTGGACTCATTAAGTCGCAGAAATCTGGAGGCTTGTCAATAAGACATTTTGGTAAATGTCTGTTTTTTGTGTGCGTGTTTCTGTCAGTAGTGGAGCCCTCCAGGGTCTTCATCCTTGAAGCTCATTATTATTCCAGATGCAACAAATGGTGCAATCAGAAAGTAAGTAAGTAAGCTTTATTTCTATAGCACCTTTCACAGACAAACATCACAAAGTGCTTCACAGAAAGCAAAAATAATTAAAAACAATAAAACAGATCACAGATATAAAAACAACAATTAAAACACAATAAAAAGCACATTAACTAAAAGCCTGTCTGAATAAAAATGTCTTAAGATGTTTCTTAAAAGAGTCAGTGGAATCTGAGCAGCGAAGGGACAGAGGGAGAGCGTTCCAGAAAGTGACGGAACTTGACCTTTGGGTTCGGCCTGAGTGATTTTAAATGGTTTCCTTGTCTCGTTTTTTTAACCATCTGCRCTGTCTAATTAACCTGGGGTTGCATTTCCTCTTGCGTACACATCCTGGAAGGATATAATTTTTTTATATGACGCTATAAAAAATGAATCAACTGCCCTCCACCTACACCATTTAAAATTATGCACATTGTTACTTTGCAGCCGATCACCTTCACAGGATGTGATGAGATCGCACATAAACATTTGTTTTGGCAACAGTCGAATAAAACCACAACCTGTTGACAAACTGTCTTCATGAAGGAGGAGAAAGGTGGCATACTGTCGTTGGTAGTGACAGCAGTCAAAACATTAACGACTGCTTTAACTATAACAAATTAAACTCTTCCAAATACATTTTGGATTTAGACATTTTAAATTAACAAATGTCATGAAATTATATTTATGGGTCAGTTACCATCAACCTTATGTGTTATCGGTTTCAAATATATCATGTCTAATTAGTGGTTGAACTTCAAAACCGACTGCAAATCTTATTTAGGCWATTATTTGGTCATTATCAGATGTTTTTATGTTTTTCAGCCAGAGAACGGAAATGAATTTCACAGATAAAACCCTTCACTAACATGTGCCTTTAACCTATCAGACTCCAAACAAAGACATTTGTGTGGATTTAATTTAAAGAGATTAAGAGCGGGCATGAGAAAATACACGGCTCGCTAAAGCTGGTAAAACAGCGCCGCCAATAAATGAGATAATAAAGGCGAAGGACGACTCATTACTCATCGTTAAATGGATCATTCCTCCCCAAATCATCCGGAACTAAACACATCCATGTGTGGGCTTAAGACCACCTCCCSCTTCTTGACTTGAAGCGTACCCATCAACCCCCCACCGCGTCCTCACAGATCAGATTTAGACTGGTTTCTGACATGGGTCCTCCAGAGACCCCCGATAGGATCCATCCTCCACATCCACCTTGACAAGAAAAAAATGTTCACCAATTATTCCGTTTTTTTCYTTAAGGTGAATGCTCGGTGGGATGGGGGAGGGGTTCACATGTCAGACAATCGATTCAACCTCAAGGCAGCTGCACTAAGCTGAGGCAGCAGTGAAAAGGCCTGTGGTGCGCTTGAGCCTGCACACAAGCACTCATATAATGCAGGATGTGTCTGCAGACGCACCTCATGGTCACTTAATGGACGAGCAGAAAGCCAAGAAATATGGACGTGCGAGTTCATGCACGGTGTATTACAAGCACAAATAATGTGTTAGGGTGGCGATCTGCTCCATTTAGAGCTGAAGGTGATTAGCCCTGGAGAGTGGCTGGAAAGGAAAGAKGAGTGAGACTAATGCTGTTAGGCTGAAGCCTCAATGTGGGGAGGTTGATGGGTCGGRGTAAAGTGCCTTTGTAGGGTTCTGCTTATTTTTGTAAAAAAAAATTTTTTTTTAAGTAATAATAATAATTTTACAGAAAATAAACCCGGAAAAAATTTATTGCAAAGTAGCACCACTTTGATCGGGATCAGTTCTTTTGACTAAGAGAATTTCAGTTGACTCAGTTATGCAACTAAAAACATGAACACTAATCTTGTGGTAAAGCTACTTGCTGCTTTAAATACATTGAGCATTAATCGAGCGATTTAGATTTGAGATTTTAGCTTTTAGCTGCGGATTAGCTCATTTTAGCTTCTGTTCTGCTTGTTTTAAATATGACATGTCAATAACACTCAGCACTTAGCATTCACACTGCATTACTGYTCAAAATGTCAAATATATTTTTCAGTTGCTCTATTGATCACTAATCAAAACGGATTGAKTTGAGTTTTAAAACCATTAAATGTTTTATTGAAATGGACAATTTCATAAACATTCAAAGTAGAAGCCAAAACAAGTTAAGACTTTTCCACGTTTATGCCAGTTGATTGACTGAAACATGAACCAAGTGATATAAATTAACATAAATGATTTGTTACTTGTTGTGTAAATACTCTACATAATCATTAAATGTCAGAATATCCAAGTTAAACAACCATTTGCTCTTTTTATTGTCTCGGAGGTTAATTATCAGAACTAAATGGTGACTTTTTGCAAAAAAGAAACGGAGGCAGGAGTCTACTTTGGCAAGCAGACAATAAGACGTTCCAGTGGGACCCAAACTGTGCTCTGGATTTTTAATTTTACTCTCAATTCCTATGAAAAGTCCCAGCTTAGATCGCTCTAGACATGTGAGACTTGAGCTCTGCTTCTTAGGTCTCTTAATTGGGCAGTTAGCCTGTTGGCGTCCCCCCCTTAGCACCCTGTGTGGGTGGATTGTCCTGTTGGTGCCCACTAAGACAAGGACTCTGTTGTGGTGGGAGGGGGTGGGGTGTGCGTGAAAAATGCACTGGACCCTTTAATGGCTCCCAAGCCCTGCCTGTGGCTCCTGTATTCAAAGCAGCTAACGTGCTGAAGTGTATAGCTGTTCAGATAGTTGGGAATAGAGGTGGTAGAGATCATTTTAAAAGGGATTCACACATKTAACATCAGACTATTTGATAAACATTTATTTTAACTGTAAAATAAAGTCTGTGAAAATACTGCAGGCTGTTTAGTTTTTATAAATTTTTATAAAAATATTGTCGCACGAACTGAGCCATTTTATTGACACCTTAAAGCATTCTGGGTAAATGATGACGTGGATAGGTCATCRGTGCGAGGCTGCTAGTGAGCTATATCCACCCTGAAGGTTATTCTTGGACAATATCTGACAATTGGCTCTTTTAAATGAAACCAGAGAGCGTTGACAGAGAGGAGAAGGTAGAAATGACTCAGCCTGTAACTGAATGGAGAACAACAGAGCTGCTTCATGGAAGAAGAACCTCAGCTTAGCCTGTTAGCGTCGATGCTATATCATCAAATATATATGTGTATTAGCTTGGTGCTAGCTAACAAGCTAAATTGAGGTCCTCTATCCACATTTTCATTTGCGGGCTGAGTCATTTATACACTCTCTTCTCTGTCATGTGGATGGAGGACCTCCGTTTACTTTGTTAGCTTTCGCGCTAGCACCGAGCTAGTACATATTTATGGTGTCATTATTTACAYGGTATGCTTTGCAGTGTTGAGAAAATGGCTCCGTCTGTGACAATATTTTTTTTTATTTATAAAAACTAAACATCCTACAGTATTTTTACAGACTTCATTTTACAGGTAAAATAAATGTTTATCAAATAAAGTCTAATGTTACGATTAATCATGGATCCCTTTAAAGAAATTGTAACTGTTTTTTCCCCATCACTTCTCTTTCTAGGGAGCCATACTCCATTTAGTGTGCTCTCTGCATGTATTAATAAAAAAAATGAATAAGAATTGTGATTCTGATCGTCACAAATCCTCACGACGACTGTCACCCATCTTTCTCACCTCCCAGCCCTCAATGTGYGACTGCAGCTGTTCTAGAGCTTCCAGCTTCTCCATCTGCCTCTTGGTCTCGTTGATGTTGGAGCAGACCGCCTTCATGGCCTGCAGGGCCTCCTCCACTGCAGGGTAATCTGCATGTTTCTTAGGGGTCCTTTTAAGCAGCTCCTATATTGTAGAAAGAGGAAGTTTAAAAAAAGACATCTGCACATTTTTAAAAACAGGTGGGTTTAAAAACCTGTTAATGCTCTGTTAAATGTGTAACCTTTACCAGCTTGGCTCCTAAAATGCCACCTATATTGGGGGGGGGGGGGGGGGGGGGTCTAACCAAGTTTAAAAATGAGTCACTGGTATCAAAAGCGTACTTTATGATCTGGTTTTTAGCATGCTTGTTCAGTTTTTACACAAACAGATTTTTCTGCTCAGAGGAAAGTACATTACCTTCAGCAGCAGAGGGTACTTGCAGATCCTCTGGATGGGAGTCAGGAGGTAACCCTCCAGGGGAATATCTGTGCTCTTCTTGCCTCCAAGAAGCATGCAACTCTTTGGAAGAACCAGAAACAAACCGTATAAAAAACCCCATTGTATGTATATGCGTATGTAATTAACAATTATACGTGTGTGTGCTAACAGAAACTGTTAAGAGAAGAAAAAGGGCACACAGGATGTCTCATTTTGCTTTACTTCCTGTAACCATCTAAAGCACCATTTGTGCCACCGAAAAGGAAGTGAATGGTGGATTTGAAGTCAAGATTAATAGAAAAAGGTTAGTTTATGGTTCAGTGACAGAGCAAATGCATTTAAAAGTACAAAATGATTTACAGTTCAGAGCATTTGCAGAGATTTTCCTAAGGGAAAAATAAAAAAGAAATTTTTACTGCAGTAGTCAAATTTAATTGGTCATAGCTGTTCGTTTTGATTGGACATGGTTATAGTTGTCATTTTTAATTTGATGCAGCTGTCGTTTGCATCTAGATCCAATCTGAACTCTCTGAGCAAAGACTGAGCTGTAGCATGATTTCCATTTGTTTTTTTGTTAACAATTTGATCAACCTGTATGTAGGCAGGGACGCTAATTATGTCAAGAATTATAAACAAACAGAGCAACAAGAAAACATTAAAGTKTGTCCCGATTCCTCAGAAGAAATAAATAATCTTCAACGCAGAGCCAATCAAAAGAGTTTTCTTCAGAAGTCTTTGGGGAGTGGGTGGGGGGGTATATTGTTCCAGTCTTGGTTACATTTCACCTTGGATTTTGATTTACCACAGCCTGTTGGTATACTTTAAGCTTATGGGATAAGAAAAAAGATCAAAAGCAGTCATGCAGATAAAGCACCGGTGTTCTCTCGTGGGGAAAAAAGGCTGCAGATCACTTTAAAGCATTAAAATCGTCACATGACGATTCCTTTCAAGTCTAAGCAGAGTAGTGGAGACTGGCGAAGCATTTCTGGTGAAAAACAAAGCAGAAGAAAATCTTGTCCTGTTGTTTTAATTTCTTCTCCAGTGGCATTTTGTCTTCCACACCCACAATTTCTAACTCCGTTTCCTTTTTGCCAGCTTCTTCTCTCGCTCATTTTTGGTTTGTTTGTAATCTGCCAGCCTGGAGAAAAATATATCTCATCACTCTGACCTCGTTTTGCTTCCACTTCCCTTCTTTCATCTCCTACAACACATTTAGCACTTCATTTCTTTGTACAACTTCAGAAGCTTCCTTCATTGTGAAATTCAATTAACATGATCCCTCATTTTTATTCTCGTCACCTCACTATARTTTCCTTTTTTTAAAGTTTAGCCACATATTCATGCTTATATTTACACCTAAATRTCTTCAACAAGACCATATTTGTTTMCTTWCAGTACAAACACTACAACCAGCCCAACACAGATCAACTGTGACTCAAGCTTTCACGTGGTTTCCTTCAGGATTTGCTTAAAGGGGGTGTATTGTGCAAAATCAAATGTTTTGAGCTTTATTTCATGTTATGATGTTATTCCTTCATCAAAAACAGGCCCAGAGTGTTGCTTTGACTCATTCATGCATGTTTGAGAAATCCTTAAATCCCCTGTGGTAGCCATGTAGAGCTAAACACYTGCTGGTACAAAKCTCTGCCYATTTACYCAAAGCTCCTCCCTCAAAGCATTGTTGTGAAGATGTGCTGAAGTGGGAGTGTTGGAAACGGTAGGAGGCTCTTAAAGAGACACAGGCCAATTTCAAARTGTTTAAATAGGCCCTGTCCCAATACTCGCACTCCCACCCTCGTTCCGCCCTTGTGCACTTCAAATGCGCGTACATGTTGAAGGGTTTGAGTGCGTAGTGTCACACTAGTGACACACTACTAGTGTGTCCCACATTCTCCACATCYGCCCTTCGCCCCGCCCATTTTGGGTACCATGGGTGACAGACCTCATCGACAAAAGTTGAAGCTGGTTTTGTTACTAAGTGTCGCCATCTGGCTGACGCCGAGCAGAGAAACGCCTTGCCTCTCTGGTTAACCCACATTTATTTAAGTTAAAAGTTAGGAAAGCTAATGCCTGACTTTCCTCCTTTTCTTAAACCTACCTTGCCAAACTTAAGTTAATTGCCTCAAATTTCTCATATTCAACATCTAATCTTGACGTTTGTGTTCTATTTAATTGCCTGATTGACAATTAACAAAGCTCGAAGCATTTGTTATTGTTGGTTATAAACTTTTATAGGAAATTGATTGCTCACAATTAAATATACTGTAGTGATTTTGTGCGATGATGTAAAATGAATGATCACATTTATTTTTGGATCAAAGCAAAATTCACTGACTGAAGCTACTTATTGTGTGTCCATTCACTTTGCACGGGAAGAATATTTACCGAAAATAAGGTGATCTTTGCTAAAATATTATCCATATAACCTTGTTATAAGAGTGTAAGGTAAACCCTTACAAATGGTGGAGAATGCTGGTCCTACAAATGGTGACGTAATCCGTACTGTCCCGATTCTTAATATTTTTGCACGTTTGTAACCTGCGCACTCAAACACTTGTGTGCAATTCGACTGAATCCACACTTCAAAGGTGCGCACTGAGCATTGGGACTGGGCCATAGACTGTGATGCAAAGTCAAATTTATTTTTGATATATACAGATTTTTACAACAACTGAAGGAACATAGTTACCTAATTGTGCTTTAGTGTTGAAGTATGTGTCTGGAAAGTACATAATACCCCCCACACACACACCCACTTTGAAATTTCTAAGACTTGTTACTATTTTGCTGGTTGTTGCTACAGAAAACACAAGACCTCATCCAGTTCTTAAAATTATACTGAACAGGTCTAACTAGTGCTTTGATACCAAGCAGATGTTGAGCAGTAATTTTATTAATCACGCAAGACCTAACTAATTAACATCTGTCAGACTCGGTCAGGGTAAGCTAAAAGCTAACACACACACACACACACACACACACACACACACACACAC